ACAAAAACAACCCCCCACCCCCCACCGAAAAAAAAAACGAAAACAAAAACAAACAAATTCGAATTCGGGGTACCTTCTGTTGTCTATGTAGACGCCATTTACTTTACCAAAATTAGGCAAATAGGGTCTTCGTTGGGTATTTGAATCAGGTTAGAAAACTATTAGAATTTATCCAATAATTGTTGGATTAAAACTGAGAATGGTATAGGCCTATCACACAAACGTTTTTGGCCAGACGGATCCGGATATATGGAATTCACTTCAATTGTATAAAATCGGTAAGACAATGTGAAATTGTAGTGTACCGTACCTTATGTTATGCCACAGCTTACATTTAGGAGTAGCTATATACGTACAAACAAAAATAATGGTTGTCTTCCAGTAACTGAAAGGTCCACTGATAAGCTCGGATATGATAATATAATACCTGAAATGCCACAATGAAATGCACTCCATCATGCACTCCAATACCGTTATATATTATACTATATTCCAGTAAGGTTCGTGGTGTTGCTGCCTTAAGCGACTGCACGACCTGCAAAGAATAAAATCAACAATTATAGTGATCCTTTTGTAATTCAGACATGATGTGAACAAAGATCACAATGAATATTGTGTTGAAAAATCGAAGGTTAAATGAATACATTGTTTATGTGAATAGCTAAAGCTTATAAAATTTGTGCGCCATTAACCTGAAGCAACTCATTTTGTACATAAGCCTATTAAGCGTAGGCATATTTTTTATTAAAATAAATAATCAATGTAACTATAGCAGTGACTGGCGTTGCTATGCGATAAGACACACAATTGGTAGGTAAGTTGGAAATATCGTAAAATCAACTGTATAGATATATGTGTTCAGTTGTATAAATTACATTTATATTGGACGCACTTTTTACATAGGCGTACACTACATAGTGTTTTGCGTAGGCCTACATCATAATATTATATGATGATACAGTATTATGATTGGTGGTAATGTTACTGTTACATTTACGGTTGGTATGCCAGTTCGATCTACTGTCAGTCAGATATTACAAAATGGCGTACGGAATCACTAGGATAAGAGCCATATATGTAGTATTCTTCTAGCCTATACCTATATGGAATTAATAAGCGCGTTTAAATAATTTTTGAATGTGTCACATTTTTTTCTTCAGCTTTACAATTCCATTAAAAAAACAAGATGGAGGTTAAAGTCATCGTTATGCTGTTTGTAACCATCTGTTCTGTTGAGTCAGGTATTTTTCGAAGGTTCTGAGTCTTAAGTACTAGAAGTAACTAGAGCTCTCGTAGATATTATAGTAGGCCTATCTGTTTCATTCATTTCATTCATACGCGATACAACAATACCAATTATAATGAATGAATAAGAATTTATTAGATAAAACATAGGCTAACAATTTTATTTTTTTTAATGCTAGGTAGTGCCTACTATATATTCTATTTCTGGTATACATCTTCCTCCATCTATGAAAGTCACACATCCCTCCCACTTTTCACAAAATCCTGTATCCACCCCAGTAAACTGTATAATTACTGATTCAATGTTTTTTCCTAGATACATTTTCAATCAGATTGGTCGGTGGAAGTACAATCTATGAAGGACGTGTTGAGATATATTATAACGGAGAATGGGGAACGGTTTGTAATGATCGCTGGGACTTAGATGATGCTCTTGTGGTCTGTCGTGAATTGGGCTATGGATATCCAGTGCAGACACTCATTTATGGATACCAAGGAGATACATATCAAAGCATCCTTTTAGATGAAGTCGACTGCAGTGGTTGGGAGTCTAGGCTTTCGTCGTGTTCACATCCAGCGTTAGGTGAACATGACTGTGCACACATTGAGGACGTAGCGATTGAATGTTCTCCAGGTTTGAAGTCTATAATTGTACATTTTATATTTTTTTTAATTGTGACATCAAAATCATTTTTCAGTGTTACCAATATAATGTTTCGATTGATGTGATTGAATCCGGCTCTATAACGAATATTAATAATGTTAGATATTACCTCCTTAAATCATCAGTATCCCATTTTTTAACCTTGCTGATCTGAAAATAGTTCATAATAAAACGGTAACGAATGGCCTAAAATGAAACATGGTTGGCTGAGGTGGATTAAAGCTGGCTCATCTGTTGTTGGGGAACTGCCTCCGTGGTACGTTTTGACATTTCGATTACGAATATTAAGGTGAAAAAACAGGATTTAGAAGTGTAAAAGAAAACGCGAAAAAAGAGGGTAAAACATTATTATTGATCGCCCAAAACGCCTCAGAGATATCCCGGCGTCAAGACAAAAAATGTCCTGGGGCGTTTGCTATAATTATAGGCCTAATATACTTACGTTTATTTACTGTGGTCAATAAATAAATCTAAATTTTAGTGTTACCACCTATATACTAAATTATTGGAGTTTATTACTGCTGCTTTGGTAACTTAATTTTCATGTAATTATAATTGTAGTTACATTTTTTTAGTTACATTTACAGTTACAATTTTAATGTTTGTTTTTTTTTTACATTTTACATGATAGATGATTAAAAAATATTTGATTTGATTTGATGTTCATACAGATTTTACAGTCCGACTAGCTGATGGAATTGCAGATTTTCAAGGTCGTCTTGAGATCTATTATGAAGGAGAATGGGGAACGGTGTGTAATGATGGGTGGGACTATAATGACGCACGTGTGGTTTGTAATCAGCTAGGCTATGGATATCCATTGCAGTCCCTCATCAGTTCTGGATACCAAGGAGATACATATCAACGGATCTTTTTAGATAATGTTGACTGCAGTGGTTCAGAGTCCAGCCTTCCATGGTGTTCACATTCAACCATAGGCGTACATAACTGTGGTCATAGTCAAGATGTGGCGCTTGAGTGTTCTTCAGGTTCGTAGTTACTTATGTTTTATATTCTAATAGTAGCATTTTTTCACATTTAGCAATTGGTGTGTTTGATGACATTTATAAAAAAAATTGTGTGGTTGTAGATCCCAAAGTGTTCTCGAATACTGCGATCTAACTAACGTCTCATTTAACCCATTTGCTAAAAACGCTTATTAACAGATGCTTACAAAACAATGGACTAGCAACATATAATTTTTAAAATGAAATTAAATTGCTATGTTGCTTTGAAATTCATGTACAATATATAGGCTCTATGTAGACATACTGAACTATCTCGGAAAAAATCCTATGGCTTCTTTTCGAGATGGATTTTTTTTTTCAGATTACTTTTGCAAACTAAGGTGGGGGACTTAATTTTGAAATGGGTTTCTCCTCTTCTCGAGTTTAAGCCCATAATGTCATTTGAGGTTTTACGGTATCATTATACAGATATCGTCTGTCACTATTAGTGTTCACACAGAATAGTTTTTAAAACGAAGCTAAATAGTAATCAGATTTCACAGTCTATCACAATAAACTGATCCATAAAGGAAACAAATAATAATTAAAATGTGATCTATTTCCAATATTTTGGATTTAATATCTGCCTTTTTGGTTTTATTTACAGGTTTCTCAGTCCGATTAGCTGATGGAACTTCAATGTATGAAGGTCGTCTTGAGATATATTATAACGGAGAATGGGGAACCGTTTGTAATGATTATTGGCATTATGAAGATGCACTCGTTGTTTGTCGTGAACTAGGCTTTGGAAATCCAGTGCAGACCCTCATCAGTACTGGATACCAAGGAGCACTCCAAAGCATACTTTTAGATGATGTTAACTGCAGTGGTTTGGAGTCTAGTCTTTCGTCGTGTTCACATTCAACCATAGGTGTACATGACTGTACCCACGCTAAGGATGTGGCTCTTGAATGTTCTGCTGCTTTGGTAACTTAATTTTCATGTAATTATAATTGTAGTTACATTTTTTTTAAAGTTACATTTACAGTTACAATTTTAATGTTTTTTTTTTACATTTTACATGATAGATGATTAAAAAATATTTGATTTGATTTGATGTTCATACAGATTTTACAGTCCGACTAGCTGATGGAATTGCAGATTTTCAAGGTCGTCTTGAGATCTATTATGAAGGAGAATGGGGAACGGTGTGTAATGATGGGTGGGACTATAATGACGCACGTGTGGTTTGTAATCAGCTAGGCTATGGATATCCATTGCAGTCCCTCATCAGTTCTGGATACCAAGGAAATATATCTCAACGGATCTTTTTAGATGATGTTGACTGCAGTGGTTCAGAGTCCAGCCTTCCGTGGTGTTCACATTCAACCATAGGCGTACATAACTGTGGTCATAGTCAAGATGTGGCGCTTGAGTGTTCTCCAGGTTCGTAGTTACTTATGTTTTATATTCTAATAGTAGCAATTTTTCACATTTAGCAATTGGTGTGTTTGAAGACATTTATAAAAAAAAAATGAGTGGTTGTAGATCCCAACGTGTTCTCGAATACTGCGATCTAGCTAACGTCTCATTTAACCCATCTGCTGAAAACTCTTATTAACAGATGCTTACAAAACAATGGACTAGCAACATATAATTTTTAAAATGAAATTAAATTGCTATTTTGCTTTGAAATTCATGTACAATATATAAGCTCTATGTAGACATACTGAACTATCTCGGGAAAAATCCTATGGCTTCTTTTCGAGGTGGATTTATTTTTCAGATTACTTTTGCAAACTAAGGTGGGGGACTTCATTTTGAAATGGGTTTCTCCTCTTCTCGAGTTTAAGCCCATAAGGTCATTTGAGGTTTTACGGTATCATTATACAGATATCGTCTCTCACTATATTAGTGTTCACATAGAATAGTTTTTAAAAAGAAGCTAAATAGTAATCAGATTTCACCGTCTATCACAATAAACTGATCCATAAAGGAAACAAATATAATTAAACTGTGATCTATTTCCAATATTTTGGATTTAATATCTGCCTTTTTGGTTTTATTTACAGGTTTCTCAGTCCGATTAGCTGATGGAACTTCAATGTACGAAGGTCGTCTTGAGATATATTATAACGGAGAATGGGGAACCGTTTGTAATGATTATTGGCATTATGAAGATGCACTCGTTGTTTGTCGTGAACTAGGCTTTGGAAGTCCAGTGCAGACCCTCATCAGTACTGGATACCAAGGAGCACTCCAAAGCATACTTTTAGATGATGTTAACTGCAGTGGTTTGGAGTCTAGTCTTTCGTCGTGTTCACATTCAACCATAGGTGTACATGACTGTACTCACTCTGAGGATGTTGCTCTTGAATGTTCTTCAGGTTTGTATTTAAAGTACGACTCAGTTGTGGACTAGCTTGAAGTCTTCTTTTCAGTAACACAGTGCCAAGCAAAGCAAAGAACTGAAAAAGCGACTTGTATGAGTCAAATCACACTAATAGCCTCGAATGTTCACAGTTACTGAACTTCATCGGATTTTTAAATTAATATAAATGACTATCATAAATTTAAGGTTTTATTAGTTTTCCGAAAGCTGGTGTCGGCAACATATTTTCCCAAAAACAAGAAATCCTAGAATTTATATTAGTAAATCAAACAAGGGTCCGAGTCTTTTGTAATTAAATGGTTCGCTTTATATTTGGAGGCTGATGATTTAGCATCAAGTACATTGCATCATGTTGATGTCAAACTAGCATAGGCCTATATTGTATTAAATCCGTTTCTGTCAATGTCGCAGTTCTGATTAGACGCTACTTTTTTTTACAGATTCATCAACATTGGTAATTCGTCTAGCAGGTGGACCTTCGAGCTACGAGGGACGTCTTGAAGTCTACTATGGAGGAGAATGGGGAACAGTGTGTGATGATGGGTGGGGTGAAGTAGAGACACGTGTTGCTTGTCATCATTTAGGCTATGGGTATCCAGTGCGGACCCTTATCGATTCTATATACCAAGGATCATATGATCAAAGCATCGTTTTAGATGATGTTGACTGCAGTGGTTGGGAATCCAGTCTTTCGTCGTGTTCACGTTCACCATTAGGTGAAGCAAACTGTATTCACACTGAGGATGTAGCTATTGAATGTTCTCTAGGTTTGTTTTAGTCAATAGTGCAACATTATATTTTCAATGTAACATTAAAATCGGTGTTTTGAGCATTAGCAATAATAATTTGTTTATTTGTGAGCTTGAAGTCGGTTCTAAAAACAACGTCGACGTCGTCATCGTTTATCATCATCGTCGTCATCATCATCATCATCACTATTGTAATTATTAGTATATAGCATTGTCATCACTAAGACATTATTATTAGGCCAATATAATATTACCATCATAATCATTACATTGTCGTCATTGCCGCCGTCAACGTAGAAGCTACCACTGCCACCACATCATCATCATATCATTATAATGTTGATAATTGGTCTACTACAGTAATTATGTACCGCAGTTTATACTATCATTTTGTCATTCAATTTTGATATACCTACTAAATTTACAATACGAAAATGACCTGATAACACACAAAAAGAAAACTACGCAGACAATAACAATGTTGGCTAAATTTCTCATTTCATAGTACGCCTTGTTGATGGATTTAATGCAAATACCGGTCGATTGGAAATTCTTGTTGGTAATGCGTGGGTACAAATTTGCAGTCGTTACTGGAGTGATACTAATTCAGGTGTTGCTTGCAGAGAGTTGGGCTACAGCGGAGCTGAAACCTTAGTCGGTGGCGACAACATTCCAGCTAGTCCGGGCTCAGTGTCATCTTGGTATAGCTTCGACTGCAATGGTTATGAAAGTAGTCTTCTAGATTGTACTCAATATTCTGTTAGCTACTACTGCTATTATGAAGAAGTAAAACTACAATGCACAGACACCTGTAAGTTTATTGATATTACTGCTATTCTTTATTATCGTTATTATTATTATTATTATTATTATTATTATTTTTATTATTATTATTATTATTATTATTATTATTATTATTATTATTATTATAGTAGCAGTTGCAGTTGGCCTATAATCTGGCAAATAATTTATAATAGAACCGTCTATATTTGAATTTGTTTAGATGGCGTTCAAGGCGATGTACAATTGTTTGGAGGTTACGATGTAGATCAAGGGAATCTTGAAGTATATATATATGGCACTTGGGGGACCGTGTGTTCAAACAATTGGGACAACGACGCTTCAGACATTGCTTGCAGACAACTTGGTTATGATAGAGCTGAAGAAGGTCAGCACTATTCGTACTTATACTCATACGACGGAGCATATAAACCAATCCATACACTAAGAATTGAGTGTACTGGAGAAGAGTCTCATCTGAGTGATTGTTATTTCAACACTGACGACACTGCAGATGGCTGTACACATGATGATGACGTTGCAGTAAAGTGTGTGCATGAAGGTAATACTACAGTACCATGTGTTACAATTAGAATTATTGCAGGTTGATGATGTCTTAGTATATAATAAAACCAGTGTTCTTCTAATTCTAGTTGTGGTGGGTGAAGCCGACCTCTTAAGTAGGCCTAGGCTACTTCGAAAGTAGTGATATCCATTTATTTATTCATTAATATCTTTAACCAGGATGACACAATCATTTTTTAAAAATGTTTTTCATTGTGGTCCTGAAAAAAAATAAATAAAACACACAAAACACACAGTCAGGCAAAAATGATCCACTTAATCATTCCTGTTACCTTTTCCTTCCCCTATTTTATTTTATTTTATTTTATTATTTCCTCCATTTCCTCTTCAAAAACCACGAAGACGGCAAAGCACGCCCCCGATTTTGAGATGGCGCCGCCATCACTACCGGTTCACCACCGCATTTTAATTAGAATAGAACTTCACCAATTCTTCAGCTCAAATGGCTGTTCAAATTACCATGCTTATCATAAAAATTATTGATATTACATCATTTATGTAGCCCCCACTTCCTTCCATTGTTTACTTTAAACAGACAATGACTGTCTTGGCACCAGGCTTGTACAGTTATTGTCTAAAATGCGCTAATCCTACTGCATTTCATGGTTTTCTATTGAAAGAAAACAGTATAAATTTTCGATTCGATCATCATTATCATCGTCACTACCATCATCATTATCGTCTGAATCAGCATCGTTTAAAGCATTACGTTTGAAATAATGTATAGACAATAGCTCAAATCTCCATCCAAATACTTCATTTTCCTAAAAAAAAAAAAAAAAAAAAACACTTTTATATATTTTCTCGACAGGATTATCCGGTATCTTTATTGCAGCAATCATTGCTGGAGTCATTGTGCTTGGGGGAATCTTGGTGTGCGTGTGCTATCATTGCTGTAAGAAAAAGACTTCACTACCTTCAAACGCAGTTGCCAGTCACCCACCAGTAGCAAACGTTTCCCTACAGGTCCAAAATAAAGGGTATCAGCCTAGTCCGAGTAATCCTTCAGCCCCACCATCGACGTGGCCATCAGCACCACCGCCCACATATAATGCTGTTGTCAACAATCCAAATCGTTCGGATTACTTACCACATTCAGTGGAAAATGCTCCACCGGCTATTATACCATACCAACCACCCTTCAATCCGGGTGTTTACCAAACGACATACGGTGGTGGTGAAATGCCCAGTAATATCGCAGGGGGTAACGTTATATACAATCCTCCCCAACCTTCAAAATAAAATTTCTGGCACCATTCGTTGTTAGGCTTAGCAAGTCATTTAGTCTTTTTACAAGTTGAACGATTATAAACATGAATATAGTACATTTTGAAACACTAAATCATTTATGACCTATGTGTTGTATCCGCATTACCGGTATAGAGTTTATCGCACTTCATATAGCAATAGATATTTAATTTGCTAAACGTAACATAGACATTATAAGATAGTATAATACATACCCCAAGTATCAAAATGCACGCCATCGTGTCGGGATTCAATATTTCAACATTAATTGTGCCATCATCACGAATGTGAATAGACATGTAACAAAGTTGTCACACTTTGTAATAACATGTAGCACTTTGTAAAAACTGTTGTCGCACTTTGTAACTATCAAGCTGTCGTACATTGCAATAACACCCTGTCATTCTTAGTAATAAACAGCTGTCGCACTTTTAACATTTAATTATGTTATAAATTTTAATGGATAATAAATAAAATATTGTGCAATGTTGCATATTATGGATGCTGTCTCTTATACACATCTAGGGCTTATTTTATTATTAATACAGGCCACACACGTGTGTTTAAAACTAAATATAAGCATTTTCATCGTGGTTTTATTTATTACAATCATAGGCCTATTTCACCATCATTACACATTGAGGCCCTTCTTTTAGGTAAAACGATCTATCTTAAATTTTCTTTCTCAGTTTTGGGACTATGATGTTTTTAAACAACTTAGAAGGCAAAGGAGGGCAAGCACAAGCTTTAACCCTAACAAACCCTTAACAAAAAAAACCAAAAAAAAACACAAAATTTTTGTGTTTTCAATTCTAATTTCGTCGGAATTGATCAAAACTCCCTAAAATGTGCAATTTTTAAAGGAAATTGTCCTACCTCAACAAGAAATGCTCTTTATATATGGCCACACTCGTTTTTTTAAACTGAATATAAGCATTTTCCTTATGGCTTTATTTATTACAAACATATTCTTTCAACATCATTACACATTGAGGCCCTTCTTTTAGGTAAAACGATCTATCTTAAATTTTCTTTTTTGAGTTTGGGACTATGTGTTATAATTTAGAAGGCAAAGGAGAGCAAGTACAAGCTTTAACATTAAAAAATGCGCGGGAAGCGCGCGAAAAATTTTTGTTTTTTAAATTCTAATTTCGTCAGAATTGATCAAAACTCCCTAAAATGTGCAATTTTTAGAGGAAATTGGCCTACCTCAACACAATATGCGATTTAAAATTTGAGATTTTCAGGAACTTTCCTGGATAAAAAGGGCATTCAATGGGGAAAGATTTTTCACAGATGGATATTTTCCCCTTGTGGTTACGCCACTGTGGAGAATACCTGGCGGCTTAGATCAAATGCGCTATGGACACTTTTTGAAGTCGAGAAGGGGATGCAGGCCGGGGTATTGTGATATCTGTTCATTATATTTTCCTTTTTATTTTTGTCTTTATTTTTCTCTTCTCTTTTTCTTTTCCTTTTTCTTTCTTTTTCTTTCCCCTTCATTCTCTTTACCTCCCTCTCCCCTCTGTCTTTTCTCTTCTTACCCAGCCCGGTACAACGGCTTGGTCAGCCCGGTAAAAACCGTCAGGGGGGGGGGGACAGTCTTCCCCCCCCCGCCCCCCGCCTGTTACACCACTGCTTATAAGATGAATGGAAATATATTTCGATTTCTAGATGGCGGGAGATGAGCTTTCCTGACTTCTAAAATGTCTTTTAATGACTTTTAAAGTTCTTCAAAATTCAAGGTTTTCCCCTCTTGAAAAAGGTCAGGTAAATTTTTCTAATTTTTTATTTTATGTGTGTATACATACATAAACAAATGAGTAGTTGCATGCGTATTCTTTTTTCCATGAATTGATAAATCCCAAAAAGAAAGGGTGGTCCGGGGGTTCTCCCCTGGGAATATTTTGATTCCTAGATGGCGGAAAATGAGCTTTCCCGACATTTGAAGTGTGTTTTAAATAATTTTATGTTCTTCAAAATTCTAATAAATTGCAAAAAAAAAAAAAAAAAAT